AGCTTTATAGAATGCTAACTTTCTGTGCAAAAAAAAGTCTCCTCCTCAACTGGATAAAGGAAAAAATCCCATCTAAAGTACAATGGCAAAAGGTCATCTTGAACTATATGTCTCTTGATTATCTAACATGCCGATTACATGATGAGGATGATGTTTTTGTGAAAACATGGGAACCCTTCTTGACTTACATTGGACTTAATATCTCTACAACCCTTATAAGAGCTTTTACGTTATGATATCATCCCTTTGTACTGGGGATGACTGTCCCAGCTGTCATTCATTTATAGAAAAGAGAGCTTTGTACCAGTTAGTACTGYCACTAACTACCTTATTCATGTTTAGTAACCATGACTGGATTGTGACTCCTGAGCAGGAAGATGAATATGTAAATGTTTAACTTCTGCTTGTTTTTGTTTAGTTTTGTCTGCTTTTTTTCTATTTTGTTTGTGTTCATAATCACTGCAAAAATCAATAAATATATATTTAAAACAAACAATGTAAAACCACATCCTGCTAACATTACACACTGATAACTGCTCTGCTCTGCAACAWGAACTGGATCATCCACCAAAACTTAACAAGTGAACAACCAAACCTAGTACTGATGGAGCTGCAGCTCTTCTGCACAGATTAGAAGGTCTAGAACCACTATAACCAGTCTGACACCACAGGTGAGGGTACTAACACTTACTGGTAAACACAGAGCTGTGCCTCTTTAACATGACACACCAGTACAGTTTACAGTACTGCGCAAGTTGTTCCAGTCACTCTGTCAATGTCACGCTGCGTTCTTCACTCAGTCAGGAACAGAAGCCCAACATGCTTGATGAGGCAGACCCTCACCCCCAACCTGGAGACACCYGTCCACTGCCTCACATGTGGAGGTGCTGATCTCCACCCCTCCAGTGAGAGCTGCAGATCACAGCATGATGACACCAACAGAACCACATCATCTGAACCGGACCCCCTCTGCTCCCTGACTGCACAGAGACATTGTCAGAAAACTTCTCAACACAATCTGGATTTACAACCATTCTGTCCACATGTGTGTGTATAATACTATAAATTGTGTGTAAAAGTATGAAGGTAATTCCACTTTTCCTGTGCAGGTACTCTGTAAAATTCCAGAAAAAAAAACATCTTCCTGCAAAAGAGCAGCAAAACATTTAAGTTTCAAGTATTCTGTGCTAAAGCACTACTACGACCTTTATAATCCTTTTTACAGTAAAAGAAAAACGGTCCAGGTAAAATGTTAGAGATCTGAAAGGATTTGAAGAGATAAAATAATCTGAACTCAGTTGTTGTTTCCAATGTTCAGGTTTAGTTTAACCAGATCTTTCAGATTGATGTATTTTCTCTCCACCTGCTTGAGTCCTAACCTGTCTGTGAGCACTGAGGGGGGTCCCCACTGAGACCAGGTCATCGTAGATGCTCCTAACAGGAGGAGCTCCACTCTTATCTTTAGGCGTGGGAACGAWGGGCTTCAGGGCAGAACCTCCTCCTGAAAAACAAGGTTTTAATAAACAAAACAAGCCACATTAAAACAGATCAAACAAGAACGTTGAGTGTTTTCATCCTGCTGACCTCGACTTGCACTTGTGCTCTCTGCAGTGGGTGTGGCCAGGCTGAAGGGGCGGGGCTGTGGGGTGGCAGGAGCAGGCAGGTCACCCATAAGGAACCCAGGCAGAAACTGAGCTCCAGATGTTGGTTTAGGAGAGGTGGGAGAGCCCAGAGTCATCGGTTCAGTAGCTCCTACACCACAGACACACAAAGCTTTAAATCAACACATTAACTGGTTTATCACAGGGCCTTATCATGTTATTGTTTGTTTTCAGTTTTTTACAGGGTCAAATGTTCATGAGACCAACATGAAGCTGTCACTGGGAAGATCATGGAGATCCATTTTTAAATTATTAGCTCAAAAAGCACAGTTCTTACTTGAGTCAGTTGTTTCAAAAATGTACATTTTTATATTTTTGAAAATGAAATACAGAAAAGTCCACTAAAATAAAAGTTTTAGCAGACTTACAGTCTCTGTATGTGAAAAATGAAAATACTACAAGTGAATTCTACATTTTTAAGACTTGGTAAAAACCCTGTAAACCTGGTGAAGATTAAACTAGTTCTGACAGAAGCCTAGATAAGGTCAGGATCTTTTTATTTATGTATCTGTTTTTTGCTTACAACCTTTTGACAAAAGATGTCGGTCAGGTCTTTTCACACTTTGATCATGATAATGAGATTATTATATGACCTATTTATATACTTTAAGGTGGCTGCTGCTTGGACACATTGGGCCTCATGTAAGAACATGTTGGTATTCTTCTCCTAAATTTCTCTTACTTTTGTTCGTACAAAGGGTTCGTACGAACATGTCACGTCAGATT